ATAAAAACTAAGATTCCAGTTCTTTGAGCAATACTTCCTCTTAAAATGAACATAAAATTTCCAAACTGGGTCTATAATAAATACCTTTATAGCTCCTCTTAGTTCTATAGCTTCTAATTCATCTTTTCGTCTCACTTTCTCTTTTTCTATTCTATCTTCTACTACTACTTGTTCATATTCCTTATACTGAAATAGAAGCATAGGTTGAGGTTTCAGAAATTGGTTCGAAAATTTGAAACACAGAACAAAAAATTGAATAGTAATAATAATAGTAATAACTTTATTGAATACATACAAACAAAACTAATCAGCAACAATTATACATGCAATATAATAACAAAGAAATAGCTAATTTCTGTTTGGTATTTTCACTGTTAAAATACTAATAGTGATCAATACATCAATTGTAGAGCAATATAGAAATACCACTGTTAAAATAGTGATCAATACATCAATTGTAGAGCAATATAGAAATACCACTGTTAAAATAGTGATCAATACATCAATTGTAGAGTGATATAGAAATACCACTGTTAAAATAGTGCTCAATACATCAATTGTAGAGCTATATAGAAATCCCACTGTTAAAAAAGTGCTCAATACATCAATTGTGGAGCAATATAGAAATACCATTGTTAAAATAGTGATCAATACATCAATTGTAGAGCCATATAGAAAAACCACTGTTACAATAGTGCTTAATACATCAATTGTAGAGCCATATAGAAAAACCACTGTTACAATAGTGCTCAATACATTAATTGTAGAGCCATATAGAAATACCACTGTTAAAATAGTGATCAATACATCAATTGTAGAGCCATATAGAAATCCCACTGTTAAAATAGTGCTTAATATATCAATTGTAGAGCAATATAGAAATCCCACTGTTAAAATAGTGCTTAATATATCAATTGTAGAGCAATATAGAAATCCCACTGTTAAAATAGTGCTCAATACATCAATTGTAGAGCCATATAGAAATCCCACTGTTAAAATAGTGCTCAATATATCAATTGTAGAGCAATATAGAAATCCCACTGTTAAAATAGTGCTTAATATATCAATTGTAGAGCAATATAGAAATCCCACTGTTAAAATAGTGCTCAATACATCAACTGTAGAGTGATATAGAAATATTAAATTAAATATTATTATGCGATCTTCAGACAACTGACCAATATCAGCCGGCACCCCTACAAAAGAATATGTGATTATAAACAGTATTTATACTCACTAATTTGGTCAGTTCTTGTAATCTCTCTAAATCTTTAGCTTTAGAAGCTTTTAAAACATCCAATTCATGTTGTTTACTCTCTACATCCTTCTCATATTTCTCCTGCCAAAAATCTAACTTCTTTTCTAAATTCTGAAATAGGTAAAAATATGATTATTGAAGTTGCCTATTATATCCTACTGTAAAAATTTGTTTAATTCATAGCTTGTCCTTATTATACATTCATAGCAAAAACACTGACAAATGAGCTCCAGAACTAACAGTTCTGATGAATGGATACATTTTTATCTGTT